TCAGCCTTGTTTTTCACAAGCACTTAAATTCATGAGAAAAGGTAAAAAGTGAAATCAGATAGAAATGCAGGTCTGTTTGCTGTTTTCTCCAATGAAATGGTTCTGGGTAAACAGCAGACGCCTTTGATGAAATCCCAGCAGGCTTAAACAATAAAGCTGGTTACAAACTCAATCTGGCGAAGATATCAGATCTCAAATTGTTTCAAAAAACATGTCAACCATTGTCTTAGTTATCTAGTGCTGCTATAACAGAAATACCACAAGTGGACGGCTTTAACAAACAGAAATTTATTTTTTCAACAGTTTAAGAGGCTAGAAATCCGAATTCAGAGCACTAACTGGAAAAGAAGGCTTTCTCTCTGTGTGGGCCCTTGTCTTTTTAGCTTCTGCTTCCTGGTTCTTTGGAAATCTCCATGAGTCTTGACATCTATCCTACCCCATCCCTTTATCCCTCTCTGTTCACTTTTGTAATGTTTTTATATCTCAAAAGAGATTGCATAAGATACACCCTATACTAATCCTGCCTCATTAATACAACAAAGATAACCCATCCCCATATAGACATATTGTTTAGGATTGACACATATTTTGTGGGGGGGCACATAATTTAATCCAAAACAACCATGTTAATGAATGGGAAGATTTAATATTCATAAAATGTCAATACTACCCAAAGCAATCTATAAATTCAATGTAATTTTTATCAAAATTCCCAGCCTTTTTCACAGAACTAGAAAAACCAATCCTCAATTTTATATGGAATGGCAAGTGGGACTGAATAAATGCTGAAAGATTTAGAACAAAGTTGTTACATGCCGTTGAATCATTTCCAACTCATAGTAACCCTGTATAGGGTTTCCAAGGAAAGGCTGGTGAGTATGAACTGATGACCTTGTGGCTCAAACTGACTTTGCGGTCTAGTGCTTTATCCCACAGTGCCACACCAAAACTCCAAGAACAAAGTAGAAGGTCTCAAACTTACTGTAGTGCTGTATGATAAGCACTGGACTGCTAACCACAAAGCCAATGGTTCAAACACACCAGTTCACTCCTTGGAAACCCTATTCAGGGTTGCTATGAGTTGCAACTGACTTGATGGCACTTAACAACAACAACATGCAGCTAAAGTAATCAAAACAGCCTGGTACTAGTACAACAGATAGACACATACACCAATGGAATTGAGTTGAGAGTCCAGAAATAAACCCATACATCTGTGTCCAGCAGATTTATGACAAGGGCGCTAAGTTCATTTGATAGGAAAAGAAGAGCCTCTTCAACAAATGGTGCTGGGAAAATTGGATTTCTGCATGCAGAAAAATGGAAAAGGATCCTTGCCGCACACCATACACAAAACAAATTAAAAATGGATTAAGGACCTAAATGTGCAAACGGATGGTGTACCTTGGAGTGATTCCAACTCACAGTGACCCGGTGTAGGGTTTCTGAGACTGTAAACTTTTATGGGAGCAGAAAGCCTTGTCTTTCTCCCACAGAGTGCAGGTGGACTCAAACTACTGACCTTGCAGTTAGCAGTCCAATGGGTAACTCACTAAACAAGCAGGGCTCCTATGAAACTAAAACCATAAAATTCTTAGGAAAACAAGCAGGGGCAATACTGTCGGGTCTATTTTCAACAATGGATTGTGTAATATAATAACAAAAGCATAAGCAGCAAAAGACAAAATATATGGGAACTCATAAAAATTAAAAACTTTTGTTCCTCAAAAGACTAGCTGCCTACTGAGAGAATATTTTTGGAAACCATATATCCGACAAGAATCTGCTAACCAAAATATGTATAAAACGTCAAGAACTAAACAAAAAGGCAAATAACCCAATCATAAAATGGCCAAAGGACTGACTTACCATTTCACCAAAGAGGACATTCAAATGAGGATGTGAAAAGATGCTCAGCGTCATTAGCTGCCAGAAAGATGGAAATCAAAACCACAGTGAGGTACCACTTCACCCCCCACTAGTATGGCTAAGATAATAATAATAAAAACTGAAAATAACCAATGTTGACAAGGATGTGGGAAAATTGGTACCTTATCCATTGCTGGTACCCCACCCCAAAATACCCACTGCCATCGAGTCTATCCCAACTCATAACACCCCTGTGTAGGGTTTCCAAGGCTGTAAGTCTTTACCAGAGCAGAAAGCCCCCTCTTTGTCCCACAGAGTGCTGGTGGACTCAAACTGCCGACCTGTGGTTAGCCACCCACTACATAACCCACTATGCTAACTTCCTATTCCACCAGGGATCCTTACCAAAATGGTACCTTTCTTGTGGAAAACAGTGTGGTGGCTTCTTTAAAACAAAACAAAACTAAAAATAGAACTACCATGGTTGCTAATGTTGTGGAAGACCAACTCAACCTGTAGCGCCTCATCTTTCTCCCACAGAGTGGCTGGAGGGCTCAAACTTGCAGTTCACAGCCCAGCGTTTATCCTACAGAGCCACCATGCTCCCCTAGAACTACCATATAAATCAGCATTTCCATTCTTAGGTACCGTATACCCCAAAGACTTGAAAGCAAGGACAGGAACAGAGACATGGACATTAGTGTTCACTGCATCATTACTCATAATAGTCAAAAGATGAAAACAACCTAAATACTCATCAACAGATGGGTAAACAAACTGTGTTACATATATACAATGGAATATGCAGTCAGCAGGAGATATGAAATCTTTATACATGCTATACAGTATGGACAGAATTTGAAGACAATTATGCTGAGTGAAATAAGCCAATCATAAAATGACAAATATTGTGTGAATTCAAGAAAAAGCAAATGTATAGAGACCAAAGTTTATTGATACTGCCAAGAGTGAGAGGGAAGGGGTACAGGAAGGCTAAGAGTGATGTAAACATCACATTGTTTAAGGCAAGGACTGCACAGATGATTATTGTAATTGCTGTAATAATTTGTACACTTGAGTTGAATTGGCATCAGTTGTGCAATAGATATATTTACAATACTGATTTTAAAAGGAAGGTGAAGCTATTGAGACTGTTTATGTACAACCAAACATCTCATGGGATTTAGTTCCTTGGTTTGGAGGTTTAGGGTCATGGTTTCTTGGGACATCCCAGTTAATTGGCCTAATAACATGTTTAGTTTTGTTCTGCCTCCTATTGCATATTGCCTGGGGTGTTTAAAGCTTACAAGTGGCCATCCAAGGCACAATTGGTCTCCATTCACCTGGACCAAGAGAGGGAAAAGGAATGTCAGGAACTGCAGAAGGAGATGCTGCTGTGGGCACTGTGGATCAGCACTGGACTTCAAACCACAAGGTCAGCGATTCAAACCCACCAGCTCCTCCTCGGAAACCCTATACAGGGAGAGTCACTATGAGTTGGAACCACTTGTCAGCACTTAACAACAACAACATTCAATGTGTGACTAATTGCTTCCAAGAACAATGCCTCTTTGCCATAAGACCAGAAGAACTGGATGATGCCTGGCTACCGTTACTGATATTTTTTTAAATCAAAGATTCCATAAAAAATGCTGATCAAAAGGGGGAAAACGTAAAATAGAATTAAGTTTTCATGGGCTATAGACTTTCTGAAGTCAAGGAGTCTGAATGAACCCTTGCAACAATATCCCTGCGGTAATCTTTAAATCTTTAAGCAAAAATAATATCCCCTGAAAGATAAACTTAACAATAGGTTAGTTTAACTAGTAAAAAAAAAAAAATCTGCCTTGAGAATTATGCCCTTTTAAGAGTTATCTCTATGGGATCAAATTGGCAATAGCAACTTGAAAGATTAGAAAGAAACCTTAGGGGGCAGTGAATTAATGTTAGAGAGGAAGAAACAAGTCAGAAAAAGAGTTGAAAATGGCTGCACAACTCGAAGAATATAATCAAAGTCCCTAAATTGTACATGTAGAAACTGCATGTTTATATTCTCAACAACAAAATTAATAAAATCTAGGGGAATAACACACCACCACAAAAACATGTTGATCAATAGTGAATGATTGTTATTGGGACTGATTGTAAGGGTTGGAAATGTAAAGGTAGACGTTTTGTAGCAAAAGGAGGGGAGTGATTGACTTTGCAGTCTAGGAGCAGAGGTCTCTGGGACCATCAAGGGAGAAGAGTGGAGTGAGGGACCCTACCAGGAGAAACAGTGACACCAGAGATGGAGGCAGAGATGATGATGTGGAGAGATAGAGTGGCTGGGGACTTTAGACCCAGAGAGAAAGAGGGGCTGTGTGCTGACGACCGAGGGGCAGACTTGCAGGGTATATACCCTTTAGTTGGTTGATGATACATGGAGAGGATTGCAACCATGGCAATTAAACAATATACTATAGGATGAATGTAAAGCTAAGGTTCTCCCATGTAAATTATCACATAATTCACAACAAAACATTAAAAAAAAAAAAAAAGGTCTATTATAAATGATGAATCTGTGACACCCTCCACAACATGGTAACATGGTTGAACCTGGAGGCATAAAAAAACAAAAACAAGTTGATCTTTTCTAATGCTCCTAAAAAACTTTCTGGATGCCCACTGTGGAGGCTGGGTCTGGGAAATAGGAGAAAGGACAGTGGCAACCCGGGGTCACAGCCTCTGCTCAGATTCCATAGAACTGTGTTCCAGGAGCCTTGAGTCCCAGCAGCAAGCTGTAGGGTGTTTCTAGTTTCTGGCTGGGGCCATGCAGGAGAAATATAGACAGACACTTCATAGTTGCTTCCCAAACCAGGCAGGGCACCACCCTTCCCGCTGGGCTGTCTTGCCTCCATCCTTAACTCCCAACCTTTCATTCAGCGGAAGCTTTTAAAAACATAAATCATATCATGTCATTCCTTTGCTTACAACCTCTAATGACTTCCCAATGCACTTAGAACAAAATCCAAACTCCTTGTCCTGGCCTACAAGACCCTATGGGATCTTCCACTGTCAACTTCTCCCCCACTTACTATGCGCCAACCTTCTTGGCCTTGTTTCAATTCTAGAATACACCAATCTCTTACCTGCCTCTGGGCCTTTGCACTTGCTGTAGCCATTGCGTAGGATGCTTTTGTCCTTACACATTGTCATGGTTCAGTTCCCTGACCACCCTAGCGCATGTTGCTCCCTCTACGCAGCCAAGCACAAGAGCACATTACTGTTTTATTCTCTACAGCAAATTTTACCACTGTCTAAAGTTTTTATTCACTGTTTCTTCCTTTGTAATGTAATCTCTTTGCAGGACAGGCTTGTATGTCTCCTGTAGCCTCATTAGTTAGGTGTCGTGGAGTCGGTTCGACTGTAGAAACCCTGTATAGGGTTTCCGAGGGTGTACATCTTTATTGTTGTTGTTGTTAAGAGCTGTCGAGTCGGTTCCGACCCTTAGCGACCCTGTACAGGGTTTCTGAGGCTGTAAATTTTTACGGGAGCAGAAAGCCTCATTTTTCTCCGAAAGCCTCATTTTTCTTCCGCGGA